TTCATCAGTGCCCGTGGAGCTGGTAAACAGCCACGACAAACGCGAAATATGCCACGCGACGCATGCACCAAATCAACAGCGGTAGGGCGAAAAACGCTGGCACTCATAATGAATGTGTTTCCCGGCCGCGAACAACAAATCGCGCCCGGCACAGCTCGTGCCGTAACACGTGTGAGTCGATGTAGCATCCGTCGGCAAGTGCCGGCACAACAGATCGCGCCCGGTACATCTCGTGTCGTAACACGTGTGAGTCGATGTAGCATCCGTCGGCAAGTGCCGGCACAAAGCCGCGGTAACGGCCGCTTCGCTCCGGCGAGGAGGCAAGAGCGAAGACGAAGCCTTGAGCGGAAGTCAGAGGGCCGGGTACCACGTTACTGCGTGTTGTGTCATCTGTACCAAGGCCGTCCGCTTGACCGGTGAAGTCCGGCAGCTGTCTCGAAGGAGATGGATTCTAATAGACTTACGCAACGAAAGCGCAAATTGGGCAAGAGGAAAACGATACACTCTCCTCGTGATTGATCGTGTGTTTGTTATAATCACAGCATGGGCCGACGGTTAAGTGTTATTAACGTTCCTTGCCCATTGGACCACGTTTCACTTGGCCGCCAAGCCCGTGACGAGACATCTAAAACTCCGCGATGTCCCAAAAAATAACGTTTATAGATGTGAGGCGAGACGGCCGCCTGTGACGGACAGCCCATCAAACTCAACACCTGTAGCATCGGCCGTTTATTTTGGCCGCCGCAGGGGCCGCAGGAACCTGCCCACGTGGAACTCCAGCGTGCGCGCGCGCGGCGGCCCCGGGAACCCGGGTCGCAGCTCGGGTCAGCGTTGTGACGTCAGCACCGGTTGTGACGTGTCACCGCCGTCTTCCCCGCTGTTGTCATTGGCATTAATTGCTGTTTGTTGTCGTAGCCGGCGCCGACTGTAGCCGAGACGCGGGCCCGCTGGGCGGCGTCGGCAGCGACGTCGGTGTCGGCAGCGGCGACAGCGGCGGCGGGGGCGGCGCGCGAAGGGACCGGCGGGGGTCGGGCCACCGTGGCGCTGATGAGCTGTGTCAGCCGTCCGGCTGCAGTCACGAGGGAGGCGGCCGCAGCGCGGCACGTGCGGCGCACGGGGCGGTCGGTACCGCCAGCAACGGCCACCGCCGGCGCCCGCGACGCGGTACGCGGCGGGCTGCGCGCCGGCCGGTGGGGGGCGGCGCTGATGACCGCCAGGCGGCCGTCCCGCCGGGGGGGGAGCACGTGCACGTGCTTCGCCGGAGATAGGCACGCTAGTCCGCCGCGCCGTTGGAGGGAGCGCTGAGAGATCGGAGGAGGGCCTGCTGATAGGTCCCGGGTGGGGGACAGCCCATCTCTCACGAGGTGCCGTCCAAGTGCCGAGGCAGGCGACAAGCTCATATGCCCAGCAAATGCTTTCAGCGGGGCGAAAAACACGTGCAGGACCGCACAAACCACACATGAGCGTCACGCATCGCAAGAGTGCTTTTCCCCTCCCTCCTCGGACCGGACAGTCGGCCAGCGCCGCGCCAGCCGACGAGCGGCGGCGGCATCAGAGGATAGAGATCGCTCAGCCGAGACCGCGACCATTGTGCGCGCCGGCGGCGACCGCGCCACCCACCTGTCCGCCGCCAAAGGCCTCGGATCGGGCCGTCACGCCCGTACCGGCCAAGCGCCGCCGACCGGACCTGCCGGCGGGGGAACACCGGCCGTGCGCCGCCGCCGGATCGGGCCGTCACGCCCGTACCGGCCAAGCGCTGCCGATCGGGCCTGCTGGCGGGGAACACCCGCCGCCGTCGCCGCGTTTGGCAGCGCCGCGTCCCGGGCTGCCGGGAGGAGCCGGCGGGTTGGCAGCCGCGGTGGACTGCCTGCTGGCGGCGATCGGGGCTGGCCGCAGAGCTGCCGCGCGGCCGGCCAGGGGACGCCGAGTGGGCCTCTACGGATACCAGCTGATTCCGTGACGAACTGACTGACTAATGACCTGCAGTCCCTGATCCTCGCACAGTCACGTAAATCAAGCAGCTGAGCATCCAGGGCAGTGCGAGTGGCTGGTAGCCACAGGTCATTACACGCGGTGATAACGCAAATGAGAGCTAATTGACCGATGGAATATGCACACAAACATGCAGGCACGCGGCGAACAAGCCAAAAAGTGAGAAATATTCCTGGACTGATAAGCAGATAGCACATTCCGATGTCGGTACAATGACTTTCAGATGAGATGAGCGCACATGCCGACGTGCTTTCAAAGTAAAGCCCTTTTCACAGCACCTTGAGTCATCACGGACTCACGACAACACGGGTTGAGCCAAAAATGAAACATTCGCCGGGTGTTTTGGCAACCACCCATCGGTAAAGGTGCTATTGGACGGCCACATGGTGGCCAACGAGCAGACGACGAGAGAGAAACGACTGACTTAAGTCAGGTCAAGTACAGCGCCTGTTCCAGGAACGAGCGGTATGTACAAGGTTGATGCGTGAACAGACCTTCAGAAATGCCCTAGTGCGCTCAGGCGGAAGCCCTGCAGGTTCGCCGGGGGACAGAGCCAACCAGCGTCAGCAGTGATCAGAGAGCCTCACCAGTGTCAGCAGTGGTCAGAGCCCCACCAGTGTCAGTAGTGGTCAGAGAGCCCCACCGGGGTGAGCAGTGATCAGAGAGCCCCACCAGTGTCAGCAGTGGTCAGAGCCCCGCCAGTGTCAGCAGTGGCCAGAGGGCCTCACCGGGGTGAGCAGTGATCAGAGATCCCCACCGGGGTGAGCAGTGATCAGAGAGCCCCACCAGTGTCAGCAGTGGTCAGAGCCCCACCAGTGTCAGCAGTGGTCAGAGCCCCACCAGTGTCAGCAGTGGTCAAAGAGCCCCACCGGGGTCAGCAGTTATCAGAGATCCCCACCGGGGCCCTCTGACGATGGGGCTCGCTGATTAGCCCCACCGGTCAATAGCGGTCACACAGAGCCGCCCCCCCTCCCGGGGTCCGCAGCGGTCAGACAGAGCCCCGCTGGGATCAGCATCGGTCCGACAGAGCCCCGCTGGGATCAGCACCGGTCCGACAGAGCCTCGCCGGAGTCAGCATCGGTCCGACAGAGCCTCGCCGGGGACAGCATCGGTCAGGCAGAGCCTCGCCGGGGTCAGCATCGGTAAGACAAAGCCTAGCCGGAGACAGCATCGGTTAGACAGAGTCTCGCTGGGATCAGCACCGGTCCGACAGAGCCTCGCCGAAGTCAGCATCGGTCCGACAGAGCCTCGCCGGGGTCAGCATCGGTTAGACAGAGCCTCGCTGGGATCTGCGTCGGTCAGACAGAGCCTCGTCGGACCAGCGGCGGTCAGACAGAGCCTCGTCGGGACCAGCGGCGGTCAGACAGAGCCTCGTCGGACCACCGGCGGTCAGACAGAGCCACGTCGGGACCAGCGGCGGTCAGACAGAGCCACGTCGGGACCAGCGGCGGTCAGACAGAGCCTCGTCGGGACCAGCGGCGGTCAGACAGAGCCTCGTCGGACCACCGGCGGTCAGACAGAGCCACGTCGGGACCAGCGGCGGTCAGACAGAGCCACGTCGGGACCAGCGGCGGTCAGACAGAGCAGAGATCGATACCCGCCGGCGGCCGTAAGTGGGCGGGAGAGTCGTCCGCGCGGAGGCTACCGCCCCGGCCCCGCCCCGCCGCCAGCCCCATCGATTTTCAATCCTCGCCGGCGACGCTGCCGCTCCAAGAGCCGGACTCTCATCTCGTCCGTCAGGTAGCGGCTGGTGCCCGACGCCGCCCGGTGGAGCCGCGCCAGCCATGCCCGGCCCAGGCCTGCGGCTGTCCGCGCCGGTGACGGAGCGTGCCGCAGCCATCGCCGCCGCCGCCGCTGCCGCCGGGACGAAGCGAGTTGCGGCCGGCGGCGACCGGTGCCGGTTTCGCCGGCGCCGGGCGTCCGTGTGCACAGCGGGCACGGCCTGTTTGCCGTACGATCGTGTTGCGGCCGGCGGCGCTGGGCGGGCCCCGCAACCGCGTGCCGCCCCACTGACCCCTCCCCCCCGGCCGTCAGCGCCGACGCCAGGCTATCCGGCAAGCCGCCCGGCACGTGGACAGGTGTTGAGAAACGACAGCTAATCACACGCACCGGCCGGGACGAGCGTGACAGGTATTGGCTCTGGGCTGAGCCGTGTCCTGCACCCGGAAGAGGGACGGAAACGGTTAACTAACGGCTTTGCGGCAGTGGTCAGACGCGACTGACAAATAGCCGGAGCCGTTAGAACGTATCGCAACGTCATGCGTTCACGCATTTTTACAGCGTACGTACGATTTGATGCTCTGAGCCCAATCTACGGCGGTCCAACCATGACTGTTGGTGAACAAATACCGAAATATAGCCCCGACGCGAAATGCTATGGAATCAGGCCCAGACGACCGAACAGCGCATACTCATTTCGTCATTTCGCCGATAACGGACAGCTCCCGTGCTCCCACAGCAAACAGTGCACGACAACGTGGGGCGCCAGTCGGGGCAGGGCGCATATACGCGGGCGGTGCACGTGGCGACTCCTTGTCTAGAGGCCAGCCGCGGTCGTCCTGAGCGTGACGCGACCCGGAGGTCAGGTTGGTGCCGAGCAGGCTGCCGTGCGGGATACAGGCGGCCGGTATGGAGCCAGCAGTGCACAGGCCAGTGGTACACAGACCAGCGGTATACGGGCCAGCGATACACCGGTCGGCGGTACACGAGTCAGCGGTACAAGAGGAAGCGGTGCACAGGCAAGCTGTACACAGTCCAGCAGCACACGGGCCAGCGGTACACGGGCCAGTGGTACCCAGGCCGGCGGTACACATGCCAGCCGTACACGGGCCAGTGGTACACAGGTCAGCAGTGCACAGGTCAGCGGTACACGGGCCAGTGGTACACGGGCTAGTGGTACACGGGCTAGTGGTACACTGGCCAGCGGCACACGGGTCAGCGGCGCACCGGCCAGCGGTACACAGGCCAGCGGTACACGGGCCAGCGATATACAGGCCAACGGTACTCACGGCGGCTCTCCGGGGATGCGGTACGACTCGCGGGTCAGGTCGCGCACCTCGAAGTCGGCCGGCACCACGAAGTCGGCCTCGGCATCTGGGCTGAGCATGAAGCTACCGTCGGCGTCCGTATCACCCCGTGGCCAGTCCGCCGCCGCCGCAGCCCGGGCCCCCGCCCCGCACATCAACAAACACAGCGCTGCCACGCAGGCGGCAGCAGCGGCGGCGGCGACACGGGATCCGGCGGCCCACCGAAGGCCCGACACGCGGGACAGCATCTGCCGGTCAGAGGTGACCGGTCACCCCCTCCGATTAGCCTGGGCGCGTTTAGGACGCCTAGGGTGATGGCATGCGCATTGGAGTCAGCTGTCGGCAGAGACACACAGGTGGGGTTGGAGTAAAGGGAAGGGGGCGGGGGGGGGGGCCTTGGTTGGTTGGTTCATTCATCCCACGGGTTCAACGAGGATCGATTGGTTTGCACGTGGCTGTCAACGGACGCAGCAGGTAAGCCGAATTGGAGAAGCACTCACTCTCACTCTGGCCATTTTTTCCCGGGTCGATTGGTTCAGGACTCTTTTAACTTTTGGTAGCTTGGACATTTAGAGTTCCAACTACACAAATTGCCACTAAGCCAGAAACGAACCCCGCTAAAGCCTGGCTACGTCCATGGCTGGACGGCACTACCGCCCTCCTCTGGCGCGGCGGCCGGACCGGGCGGCGGCATTCGGGGCCGCTGGGAAGCCGGCGAAGTTCGGACGTCACCGTCTGCCGGTCCCGCCGGGCGCGCCGGCCGCCGTCGGTCGCCGTCTGCCCCGCTGTCGGCCAGGTGCGACTGATTTCGTCATCGGGCTCAGTCGCGCCGAAGCACGCTGACGTTTAAATCACAGTTCCTGAGAACTACACGAGGGGCTTCCTGAGCGAGAGCTAGCGGCTGGAGGCAGGCGATCTGGTGGCACGTGGCGTCCCACGGGACCCAGACTTCCGAGGAGTTAAGACACCCTGCAATGGTCGCTGAGAAGGTCACCCGCCTTGGAACTGCGAAGAATGTTTACACGCCCAGGGTGACCAGGACACCTCAGAGGACGCCAGGGGCGCCGAGCACATCTCAAAAGGCGCTAATGACACCGAGGAAAGATCAAAACATGCGACTCCGCGATCTTCGACTCCATGACGCCCAAAACGAGGCTCCGTTTGCCCATGGGGTGACCGGATGGTCGCGAAGATCTCAAGGTAGATCCATAGACAGTTCTCACACCCTGGAATGCTTGTATGGAATCAGCGGTAGGTCTCTCTCTCTCTCGCTCTCTCTCTCTCTCGCTCTCTCTCTCTCTCGCTCTCATCTCTCTCTCTCTCTCTCTCTCGCATCCTCTCTCATCTCTCG